CAATTGATAAGTGTATAGTAAGTATTGATGTGTTTTTCATGAAGCATGGGCACATGTAGTCGTGACAAGCTATTATAAAAGTAAATTGCTCACTTCAGATTTCACTCGAAGCAACTTCTGGCTGGTTGCATTTTGTGTTACAGCTTCGTTTTTAAGAATCACTTCTACTTTCAGTTGCTCCTTGCATGAGATGAGCTACGATAAAAGATTAGCATTACATTGGGCAATCGGTATTATTCCATCATCAAGGCATTTCAAATTTAAAAGAATAATATAAATTCCTTTTGAGCGTAACTCAAAAACGCCTAGTTATCAACTGAAAATTCAATCCATTATTACCTCATCTTTTACATTCATACATTCTTTCTGTTGCTGCTCCAAAGTGGAAGCCAATGCAAAAACTTTCCCCTCCAACCTCTTGACCTCTATGCGCAACTCCTCGGAATTTTCCACATAAATTTGTGGCTTTTGAGATAGACTACACTCATTTGGATCACCAATAGATTGAAAATATAAACGCCCCACGTTTTTATTGGTACAAGTTTGCTTGCATATAGGACAACTCCGCTTCTTCACATTGGGACAGTACTCAAACCACTGCTGAAGGCTACAAAAGTTCCCAACGGTCAAGTCACGTCAGTCAAGTTCATTATTTCAAGTAAACAATCTAATCCCCATGTACAGGTAATTTCATAATAAGCAAATGAGTTCATCTATCATAGTTGAGCAACCTTTCATCCCCATTCACAGGTAATTTCATAATAAGCAAATGAGTTCATCTATCATTGTTGAGCAACCTTTCTTGATTTGGCAAAGGAATATATAAAGTTTCACATTATTCGATGTGTGCGTAATTGAGGAATTGAGTAAATAATATGTCCGAATCCATTGAATTCAAGTGCATAAAACTAATCTAATCAAGGTAAACAGCCCCGGTTCTAAAAAATCAGTTATTAAAAATAGTTTGTTTCCTCCATACAGCTACAAGACAACATGAATTTATGTGAAACAATAGAAAAATTTCAATGCCGCGTGCGTTGATCGCTCTAACAGCTCATAAAGCACTAGTGAATGCCCAAAAGAGCAAAACTGCAAAAAACACCTTTAAAAAAAAGTAAATAAATAAATAAATAGATCATTTAAATGCTTATATCAATACAATCAGCTTTTCACTTCCTTCAAAATGGTAAAATCGAGAGGAGACGGTAAGTACTAAATGAATGAAAAAAACTCAGTTGCAACTCTTTTTCCAAGAAATAAAACGAAACGACCAAAAATGTACCAGAGCCTTGAAAGATTGAATAATATGTCCAAACCCATTTGATTTCAAGTGCATGAAATACAAACAAAGTATACAGTCCCAGCTCTAAAAAGTCCCTATTTTCCTCATTACGACTACAAGACAGCTCGAATTTATACGAAACAGCGAACATATATGTTGTTTGAGTCACTAGGAAAATTGCAAAATAAATCCTTAACAACAACATCCGTGTAAATGCTTATATCATAACACTAATCAAACAAAGGGACTCATCTGCAACTCCTTTCTCCAAGAAATAGCCAATTTCGTCCATACAAGCACAAGACAACGCGAATTTTCGCATGAAACAATATAACAAAATAGTAAAATATTTCTTTAAAGCAAAACCCATATAAATGTTTACATCAAAACAGCTTCACTTCCTTCAAGATGGCAAAAATCCAAATGAAACAAGAAACGAATGAAAGGGACCCGTCTGCAACTCTCTAAGAAAGACAACGAAAGGGCCAGGAACATACCAGATCTCGTGAAAAACGTGGCCGCAAACAGAGATAGATTGAAGGTCCTCGGTTAAGGGCTTGAAATCCTCGTAACGAATCGAGCAAATGGTTTTCGCGAATGAATTTCTATTGGCATTGGCACTGTCATTGTCGTTGAGTCCGACCATAGCTCAATTATCCAGTGTGCTGCTTGCAGATTTTTATTTTATTTTTTTTTCGGGTTTTAGTGGTCATAATAAAACAGAGGAAATTAGAAAAGCGGGTAATGGCGAAATTTTGAAAAAATTAGAGGGAGATAATAATGGGCGCGATGAAGATTGATTGGAAAGGGGTACAATTTTTTTTCTTTTGATTTGATTATTGATTTGATTATTGATTATTGATTGTTGATTGTTCCCAAAAAGTATTATTTATAGTGCTTTTGAATAAAATAAAATGCATAAGAAAATAATAAATAATGTGAGTTAAAGCCCATTAGCGGAGAGTTCGTGTTTCTACTCGGAAAGATTTGATTGGAATATTAGATTAGAGTTTGAGTTTGTTAAGGATCTGTATTATATTATTTTCATTCATCATCGTACTTATATAGTTGCTCGCCAACAATCATATTATAACAAATATTAAAGCGCGATGTGAATAAATTTTCACTTTAATGTTATAATAATTTAATCTAATCATTATTTAGAAATATAATATGATGCTACATTCTTCTCTTAATAAAATAGAGTGAAAATAACAATAACAATCTTCTCTTAATAAAATAAAGTAAAAATAACAATTTTAATTTTAATCCACCATTAAACATATAAGTTTTCCACATTATAACTCATCTTTCACCCTTCTTGCCAAAAAATTATGTAATAAATTATAAGATCGACCACAATCAAGTCGGTTCATTTGATAGGAATAGTTGCTTCCATAAACTTTTACTAGTGCATATCCTGTGCGATGCACGGGGTATATGAATTTAGAAAATATTATAATTCATGCATTAGGATATATGAGAGTTTAATACATACAAACAATATTCAATCATAAAATGTTCGTCAAGAAAAAATCATATATTAATAAAAACCTCTTTGAACACAATATTAGGAGTTTGATTATTAGGTAACTTGTTGTGAGGAGCGCGGACCGACGTGGACTGCACAAAGGCTGTAGTGGACTGGGAAAATCATAGAAGACTGGGAAAAATCCAACAAAAAAAAAACACCATATTTGGATGCAAGCTAATGGACTGAAGCAAAGTACCTGAGTGGAGTCGATTAGAGCATGATTGGATATAAATTTGTTTTTGTTTTTATTGGATTTTTTATTTGGGTTGGTTAAATTTGAAAAAGTAGGTATGGTTAATTGTTAGTGGATATAATAAAATAATATTTAAAATAAAATGATTAAAATTAAATTGATGTAAAAGTAAGAGAGAGAATATATGATGTGATAGTTAGTTAAATTTATGTGAGTAGATGAATAGTGAATTAAGGTTGATGTTGTGTGTAAGAATGATTGATTGATATTATTTAATTATATTGATAATACTAGTACGTAACCCGTGCGATGCACGGGATGTAAAATTTGGAAGAATAATATAACCTCACGTGCATTAGGATCGAAATTGAAATCATTAAAATAAATAGGAACATTGTTGAATCATAAAAAGTTCGGTAACAATCATATATTATTAAAAACCTCCTTGTACACAACATTATGAGTTTGATTATTTGGTAACTCCTCATTATCACAAACTAATATTTTCAAAAGAGACAAATCTTAAAAATCAAACTAATATTTTTGGTGAACAAACTAATATTTTAGGATTTGTGAACAAACTAATATTTTAGGATTTCTAGGATTTGTCTCTTTTTGGTGAATAAACTAATATTTTAGGATTGGTTATATGAATAAAGCTACCTGTTTTTGGTGTTCTTTTCATTCATTTTCATTTAAACAATCCGATGACTTGTATAATGAAATCCGAATATTAAGCTGAAATATTTAAAAAAATAGTTTTTAAAAATTGAAAAGTCAAGGCAATCACTTCAGATTAATTAAAGGTCAAAGAATATCCGCTCCTTGAAATAAAGACGTGTGTTATCATTAACCAAATATCCGGTTATTGATATAGAGTGATTACCAAAAAATAGAACGCGATAAGGACACTTCATTAAAATATCAATGGGATAAGGTCATAACAGATTGCTATGAGCATGATTGGATACAAGTTTAATCCAATTTTTTTTTTCATTTTTAACTCAACCACTTTTTTTAACTCAACTTCAACTCAACCCACTATCATTAATATTATCAATATAATTAAATAATATCAATCAATCATTCTTACACACAACATCAACCTTAATTCACTATTCATCTACTCACATAAATTTAACTAACTATCACATCATATCTTCTCTCTCTTACTTTTACATCAATTTGATTTTAATCATTTTATTTTAAATATTATTTTATTATATCCACTAACAACTAACCATACCTACTTTTTCAAATTTAACTAACCCAAATCAAAAATCCAATCAAAACAAAAACAAATTTATATCCAATCATGCTTTATACATTTTAACGATAAAAGCTCAGATGGAATGATTTATGATAATTATGTTGTAATTAATGAATTAATTAGATGTGCGAAAATGACATAATTAATGAGAAGTGTGAAAATGACATAATTAATGAGAGTGTGAAAAGGACATAATTAATTAGAAGTGTGAAAAGGACACAATTAATGAGAAGTGTGAAAAGGACAAAAACTTACCAGTTTTGGAAAATACTTAATGCAAATCCGACATTGACCATAATTTGACCTACTATTTTAGATAAATGTTAATTCTTATTATATAAGTATAGATTAATGATAGTGGGTTGAGTTAAAGTTGAGTTATAAAAAGTGGTTGAGTTAAAAATGAAAAAAAAATTGAATTGAGCATCCACCTTCAGACAGGGAATGAGCATCCACAGATTGTTCAAGGGATGACGAGTCAGACCCATTTCCACGCATTAATGTATGGGAAAATGAACCATAGCCCCGTATTATTCCACCATGGCTCATGATTTACAGTTGAATTTGCTATATATATATATAATAAGAATTATTATTTACTAAAAATAGTAGCAAAAAATTTAGGAAACATTTAATGCATGCCGTTTTTGAAAACTTTTTAAATATATACATTAATTGCTTACATATACACGTTTTCAAATAAGATCAAATAAGATATGATCAAAAAATTAAATAATTTATTAATATCTGCAGTATTTTTATTCATATTTATTATAATAAATTACAAGATTGATTTACATGATCCATGTTGATAATTTTTTGGTCAAGATAAATATTATTTTGTTAATATTTGTAATACTTTCATTGATATTCATTATAATAAATTACAAGATTTATTTCCATGATCCATGTTGATAATATTTTTGTCAAGATAAATATTACACCATATTTTAAGTTCTAACCATAATATAATTTTTCGTTTTTCACAAATATTCACTTTTTATACAAAAATATTTATGGAAAATCGTACAGGTTAGGTAGAATTGTTTTTCCAAGTAATCTGACAAAATCAAGTTGGTGAATTAATCTTTGCCAATATACTTTTTTCTTACGCTTTATTTTCTTAAATACAAAAATAAATTGTTCTTCAAATTAATATAATTTACCATTTAAGAGATAATGATCATATACATTAAATAGTTTTACTAATGGTAAAAAATTAAAATTGAAATATATTAACTATTTTTTAGAATTTATTTGTATATTATTGCCATCCATGATTATTTTTTTCATTTTTTTTTATTTTGATTTATTTCTATAATTAAATTCTTGTGAAATAAATTTTCATTGCAGAGTATGCTAAATAAACTACAAATCCTTATAATGCGAATTAGAAAAATCTTGATCATAGAAGAGATTGAGTTTTTGAAATTTTTTAAATCAAATTTGTTTAATTAGTATACGAAATTAAATTCTAAAAAAACATGTGTATATATTTACACACTATTTAATTTTAAATTTATTTATATATTTTAAATTGATTACATAAATAAATAATACTAATGTGTATTAAATATTTTTCATTACATAAAATAAAAAGAATAAAAAAACGTATAACTTCCATAATTTTATAAATAATAATGACATTATATGACAACAAAGTTTATAATAAAATAATAATTAAGTATTATATAGTGAACAAGAATAAATAAAATTGTTATTTTCTCTTATATCAAGGAATAAATATATATATATATATATATATACTAAAATTAAATTTATATTAGTATAAATGTATTAGTGAGATAATATTTTAATTATTTTAGTACGCTGATTAAGAGAGGTGAAAAATATATGATAACCCTATTGCTTTATATACTTAAACGGACAAAGACTGTAAAAATAACTCATTTAATATAGGTGTCCGGGTACGTCCCACCCCCATTCTGCTTCATTCCTGCACGCCTCAGCTCAAGCTTCTCATTCTCCTCATCCTGCTCACGTCGCCCCGCCTCGCCTCAGCGCATCCACCTAGGCGGCTCGGCCTCCTTCAGTCGCGGGTAAATTGCATCGTGAAGCTGGTAGATTTTGCTCCTTGGTGAGAAGAGATACACCACCGCCTACGAGAGTTACGGCTTATGCGCACTGGAAGCTGCTGGTGCCCGGCGAGAAAAGGACCAACCCGTCGCTTTACATGGACCCTTCTTCGAGGTTCTCCTTTTCCCTTTTTCTAGAATGTTCTTTTCTTTGCATGAATCAAGGCCCTTTTGGCCCATTTGTTTCGAAGATTCGATTTTTTTCCATGTTCGTCCCTTTTTTCTTCTTCTTGTGTTGATATTTTGATTGAAATCTTGGGTTTTACATTTTTGGTGCTGAATTGATTGTGGAATTTAGAATTTTGGTTCTATTTGCACAATATGGTTTGAATTTGCTAGTTGAATACTTGAATGTTAAAATATGGTCTGGATCTGAAGCATGTAAGGTGTTTGACATAATGATTGACTGAACAAAATAAATTTCAAATTCTTTGTTGCGCTTTCTTGATTTCGGTACATTACTTTAGCTTTCAATGGATGATATTTGTCCCCTAATTCTATCAAACTTGACATGAAATTATTGATTTCATCTGAAGCCCATTTTTTTTTTTTCTGTCATTGCTCTTTAACAGCTTACTAGAAGCCATTGTCCGATCTTTTTGTCATTTTATTAATTGATGGCCATAATAAACCAATCACATATAGTGTTTGTTAATTGCTCTCTAAACAGGCCAGGAAAGGTCGCAGGCCTGACCTGCTGAACCCGTCGCAGGTCACGGGCCAGGTCAGGTCCATGGGGTAGGTATGCGAGCTAGGTCCGGGTCCGTAACTACCCTCCCGACCTGGCCTATTGCTATCCCTAGTCTCCTCCTCGACCTCGCCTCAGTTTGCCTAGTCCTCTCTTTCTTCATCTCTAGTTCATGCCAGCGATAAAGTGTTTGACATCTCCGTCGACCTCGCCCAGCCTCCAACTCGACGTCGTAGCATGGTACGCTTACTTCTGCTTCTCAATTTATGTTTATTTTGTCTTGATTTTTGTTCTTCTAGTGAAATATGGGACTGGCTTTTGTGGAGTATGGCGAATTGTTGCTTTTTTATGTAATTCTTGCAATAATATTACTTTAATTGTTTGAAGTGATTATTGAATTTTAATTTTTGTTAGTATGTTTTGTAATTGATGGTGAATTTGCCTAGACATCACATTGTATATCTATGTAAGATTTTTTGAGCTCAATTGTTACCACCGTGGATTGTATGGAATTATGAGTTCTGAGTTGATTGATTGCATAACAAAGTATAATATTTCTTAAAATCAAGAAATTAGGCTATTAGATTCACTCTAGGTACTCACTCATGGTGCTGCTAAATTTCTGGGTAGAATTCTGGAGTTCCCCAACCATAATTCACACCATTAGGGTATATACAGCATTTGTAGAAGATTCTGAACATATTTCTTGTGAAATTAGGTAATTCAATTGCCTATGGTCCTTCAATGCTAAATACAACATCTTTATTTGTTGTTGCTTTGAAATTCATATGCTATTTGTTATTCTTGAATCTTGAACAGCATCTTTTTAGTTTAAGTTGAAGCTTGAGATGATGTGCTGCTGATTATTTGGCTGCAGGAATCAAGATTTTAAAAATCCATCAAGGAAAACAAAGAGAAGGTCAAAAAACTGAAAGGAGTCAAAGATCTAAAATTAGGTAGTGTGACTCTGAATTTACAAAGCAGACTACCTAGCAGTTGTATAAGCAAGTAGATGGTGTCTAGAATGAGGTTGAAGCAAAGGCAAAAAGGGTATCTAGATATTGTATATTGATCATTTCTAATAGCAGCTCAGTACAAGTATCTCCTGAATTTGTGGTTCTACCTATTGGTGTTTTTGTTGGATTGCTAGAATATTATTTAATTTTCATGAATTATCATGTTTGAATATTTGTATTTTGAATTGTAAGACTATTGGTTTGTTTGTTGGAATGAGAATATTTTAGTTTTTGCTCCAATTTATATTCTACACATGTATGGTCTAATAGGTAATAATAATAATAAAAAAAAAAAACAAAGACAAATTTGGTTCGGGCGAGGCAGGGCAAGTCGGCCCGCCTCGAAGTGGGCCAAATTGTGGGCCTGGCACAAATTTTGTGTCATCAAAATTGTTCATATTTAAAATTTACAATGCACTTGTGGTGTATCGTCAAAATTTATAATGATGACACACTAAAAAAAGCGTCAAGCACTATTAGAGACGCAAATAGCTTGCGTCACATATTCTATAAAAGTGACGTATACGAAAAAGCGTCACGTATCAAAAAGTATCTACGCTAAAGTTATGCGTCGCAGATAATTTCGTGACATCAATAACGCAACTCGCAACACATTTAATAGTGTATTTTGAATTGACGAATATTTGTATTTGGTGACGCTAATAAGCGTCACCAAATGCCTTTTTTCTTGTAGTGAATAAAGAATATTTCATTTGAAGAATAATTTTTTTTTTTTAATGTAAAACTTAAAGTGAAATTGTTGCTGATGATTTTTAATTTTCTTAAAGTTTGTAAATTGTAATACGTTCGTTGACTCGATATACCTGAACGCATTAACCTTACAATTNTTTTTTCCAAAACGATAGATTCATTAATAAAAAACACATAATTACAGCCGGCTAAATAGCCGGAATAGGAGGACTACCCAAAGCAGCCTATAATCCACAACACACTACAAAATGCAAAAGAAAAATAAAAGCTCCCACAGGAGAATACACAAACTCCCCAACGGAAGAGAAAACACGCCAACAACATAAAAAAATAACACAACTAAACATAAAAAACAACACTAACCACAACAAAAGACACAGAAAGAAATAAATAAGAAATAATCAGCCCTCCCCAGCCCTCCCCAACCGCAACAGATAACCGAGCCATACGCACGAATTCCAATAGGTAAAGAAATACGACTCCCACCAGATCTAGAAACTGCAATCGGAGGCCTAACTAAACCGGGACACAGGAATCGAACCTCCTCCTACCAGGACCACCCCGAGCCCCCCGTGAGTTCCAGCTGGACCACCCCCCAACACCAAACCGGCCGAGAGCAATCGGACGCCCACCACCGCCGGCAGCCCGAAAATCCACCAACGTCAGTAGCCCGAAACTCCCAACCGTCGGACCACCCGCCCCAGCACCAGGAGACGGGATGGCCCACAGGGTTTAGCCAGCAACGAACCTCAGCCACCATCCGCCCTAAGGCAGCAGACGGCGACGGCGACCAGAAGCCCACCCGACCCACGCAGAGTCCCCGCCAAAGCACCGACATGGCCACCTGGATTGGAGAAACGCCACGACAGGAAGCAGGGAACATCGGGAAAGTTGACTTGCCGGTCCCCCAGTGAAGCACGGCGCGGCGGCCGGCCGGCACCTGCGGAAGGGAGGCGGCGGCGAGAGATTGGCGAGATCTAGGGTTATGTGATTTGGGGGAAAGTATCGGCAGAGAGAGAGAGTAGTTGATTTTTTTTATTTTTTATTTTTCGCAATTCCACAACAACAGCTGCTTTATGTCCCTCCCAGATAGATTCCCCAATATTCCAGAGAAATAAAACACACGCAAATTATTTAACATAGCAAAAGACTACAGAAGAGTTTAAATAATTAAACAAACATATGTCTCCCATAACCTCAAAACAACTGACATGTCTCATAACCTCAAAACAACCCTAAATGAAAGCAATAACATGTAGCTTCTCAATTCCATAAACTAAGTCTCTACCATATAATAGAAAAAAAAAATTCAAATGCATGCATCTCTTATTATTTATTTACCTTTTCTTGAGCTCAAATTGTTAGCAATCCGGCTTTTGGACCCCACCATCATAAGGAGCGTGCCCCTCGTCACCATTTATACATCCATCGGCAAATTTTATGTTGACATTGACATCTGAGGAATAGTCGTCAAGCGAATCATAGCTATTAGTCCGATATTGATTAAACAACAATATTCCCATTGGATCATTTCCCACAATATTCGGCTGTTGGTTTGCCACAAACTGTGGAGCGTAAAACATTCCATGGTTGATTAAACTGCCATGTTGACCATACAAACTCACGCGACTGGGAATGGGATCAGCTACACCGTGGTCAAATATGGTGTATGGGTTATTAATGTATATGTTATCTGGAGCTTGATGATGGTAATGATGATGGTATCCATCAACGTTTCTGATAAAACTATTGTTCATCAAAATCGAACTATTGTCTTGAATAGCATTCAAAGTCACTTGGTCCATGATGACCAACTCATTGGTTTCGTGGGCCTCGATTTCTTTGATTTCGTTGTTCTCGGAGAAAAACGGGCTCTCTAAGTCTTCCTCGTCCGCAACACGATCATCCGCATCCGTTTGTTTCTTATTCGACCGTTTGGGCTTTTGGTAAATCCGGCATAGGACCCAATCATCCAACTACATAAACAGCTTGAGTTAAGATAGCTAAATGTTAGTAATCAATGAACCCTAATAAACAAAAAAAAAACCTAATAAAATCCAGAGGAAATGAACAAGAACACTTAAAAGGTTTAGAGGCAAGTTTTATTATGAAAAAAGGTTCATCATATAAGGTGTCATCAATATTAATGGTCTACTAAATTGTCACTTTTAATCAAAACTCCTACAATAGCCAACATAGTGTACTAAAAATGACAACCACTTTTAGTACACTATGTTGGTTTTTGTACGAATTTTGATTAAATTGGCAACTTATTGGACCCTTTTTTATAGTTGAAAAAAAAATGTTGAAAAAAGTGGACAAACGCCCTATATGATGGTCATTTTTTAGAAAATAGCCAAAATAGTAGACCATTTTTTAAATTCTGCCATAAAAAAAAAAAAAAAAAAAAGGAAAGGTAGGCAAGTACCCTCTTGTCATTACAACTAGGGCTCTTGGAAGGAGTGTTGAGCTTATACTCGTGCATGATCCAATTGGTCTTGGTTGCATCCCCAGGCCTAGGTTTTCCCACATAAAAAACAAGAGCCTTTTTCCTCCCGATTATTTCGCCATTGGCTGAGAAAATTGCTCGATCGGCTCCAGTAGCCTTCCAGTAGCCTACCTCTTCAACTGATCGACTTGGTCGGTTCCCGTTTGGATATTTAGAGCATCTCTAATAGGGAGGTTTTGCAAGGTTTGAAAATCTAAACCTGAGAGGTTTACCATTAAAATGCACAGGTTTGAGGTTTGAAATAGTAAACCCGTGTTGCAATCTCAAACCTCCTCAAAAGCTATGAGATAAAAGAAATAATTAAAGATAAAGAGAAAGAAAAATGCAGTGTGATCTCAACTCTCTCATTTCAAATGCACTGGCCATACTCGTGTGTGACACGCGATAAAAAAGCGTGAAAGAGATGTGGACCCATGTGATTCTTGTCTGCAAAATTTTTTTACATGTGGGACCAATGAAATTTGTTTTAGAGGTTTATGATTATATTTGTAAGAGTGAACATCAGGTTTTGGCTTAGGTGGCGCGTTGGGAATAAAAAAAAGTAGGTTTATGAGTTTTACTACTAAAGTTGCCCTTACGGTCGCGTGGAGTGAAGAAGTACCATTCTTTATCTCCAAGTTGAGGGTAATTTTCTATTCAATAAATGAAAAAAAAAAAAAATGTTGTGAATTAATATAAGAAGGTCAGTTGCACAATAATTATTCTACATGTTCAAGATGTACATAAAGGCTGCACAGCCTGCACTCATTAGTCGAAGCTTTTTCACTTGTTATTCATCCGGTCAAGCAGAAATCTTAACATTGACCTAATTTAAACCCCTTTTTTCCTAAATTTAATGTCACTTCTTTCTTTCTTTGTACTTACATTAAAAAAAGAAAAAAAAAGGTACTTTAACACAGTAACAATAACTATGGTGTGTATGTATATGCGTGTGAATTAAAGTTCAAACATGAAAAACAAACAACAAAAAATAATCTGAAGTACCAAAATAGTAATTAAAATTCTAATAAGCAAGCATGAATTGAAGCACCAAAGAAGCTTACAATTAATAATAACAAACATAATACTAAAACAAGTAAAGTGAGTTATTTAAACTCTATGAAAGTGAATACCGGTGAGGAGATAAGGTGGAGAGCCGTAAAGAATGACCTCACTAATCTCAGCAACTGGAATTGGCTCATTGTTGACTTTTTTGGCTAAGTAGTCAACAATGAGCTCTTGATCGGTCGGCATAAAACGGTAGCCCGGTGGAAAACGCAATCTCTGATTTGATGATGTTGAAGCCACACCATGAGTTCGGTCTCCAACTTCAACCTCCATCAAAGCTAGTGACTTATTTATTCTTTTTATTGATTATTGATTGTTCTCAGAAAGTATAAGGATTTGTATAAGAAAAATAATAAATAGGAAAGATTGGATTGGAATATTAGATTAGAGTTTGAGTTTGTTAAGGATTTGTAATATATTATTTTCGGCTAATTTACATGGTTGCGAAAGATTCTGGAAGTTTTTTCAATAATACGATCATTTAAAAAGTATTTCATATTTGTTTCCATACTGTGTTTTTATTGCAACTTTATTTTCATTATTTTCATTCATACTTATCTAGTGAGTTATTTAGGTTAATCCTATTTAAATAATGAAATTTATATGGACCGAATATTGAGTTGCTACCACTTTTCATTTGGGCTGAAATATTGGGCTCTCTCTTTAGATTTCGGCTGACGGTTTTTGATGCATTCAATGGCTAAAGGACACTATGGTATCTCCCGGGTTTTAAATTTCCCACTTTTTGTAAGATTGAAAAGTTATTACCAACTCTGGAAGCGCATGTTTGTTTATAAAAAATTTTAATTTTGTTTGGATTTTTTTTATTTGGTTTGGTTAATTTTAAAAAATATGGTATAGTTAGTTGTTAGTAGGTATATTAACATAATAAAAGGTGGTATAGTTAGTTATTAGTGAGTATATTAAAATAATATTTAAAATAAAATAATTAAAATATATTTGATGTAAAAGTAGGATAGAGATATTTGAAGTGATGGTTAGTTAAAATAATGTCATTGGATGAATAGTGAATTAAAGTTGATGTTGTGTATATGAATGATTGATTGAAATTATTTAATTATATTGATAATTTTGATGATAGTGGTGTTGAGTTAAAAAAAGTGGTTGAGTTAAAATGTTGGAAATTTTTTGTAATTAATTCCAACAATTATCATCACACGTTATTAATGACCAGCTCAAATTAAAGTTGATGTTGTGTATATGAATGATTGATTGAAATTATTTAATTATATTGATAATTTTGATGATAGTGGTGTTGAGTTAAAAAAAGTGGTTGAGTTAAAATGTTGGAAATTTTTTGTAATTAATTCCAACAATTATCATCACACGTTATTAATGACCAGCTCATGTAATTAACTCATTTTCTAAGTGCACCAAATAGTTAACTTCCAAATTTATATATAAATATAGTTTATTTTAAATTTATCTTGAGTTTATGAACCAATTTTTTTACCAAAATTTATAATTATTTTAAATTTATTATAGGTTTACAAACCGTTACAAGAATACAGATTGTAAATTTAAACTTATATAAAGTTTACTTTCAGTTTATTATACTAGGAAAAATACTGAAAGTATACAAAAATAGTTAGAAATGTAATCTACAGAAAGAATACCTAATATCTAATAAAATAATTAGACATGAAAAATATCTTATGCTTATATAACCAACAAAATACCAAAAATTATACCATATAAAACATGGCAAAAAGAGAACATGATAGTCATGTGTAAACATTAAAAATACTACAAATATTCTATGAATAAATAAATAAACAACCGAATTGTTTGTCATCAATGTTACACAAAATAAACCAAATAGTACCAAGAGTAACCCCAGTCATTTAACAAGTCTAAAACTTCATGTCACCACACATCCAAAAGAGAAAAAAAAATGAGATATTACATATTTACCTAAAAAAATACAACAAAAATACAAAAAATATACCATGCAAAAAATAACAAAAAAGAAACCTGGTACAATAGATAAACATCATAAATACTCAAAGTTTTCTATCCACATCATATCCAAATAAAGAACCACAATTTAGTTTGTCAACATTGTCCCATAAATTATACCAAATAGCACTAAGAAGAATAAAAAACGTTTGAAAAGTTTGAAAATTCATGTCAATACAAATCATTAAACCTAATGTAGAAATCCATATGCTACTTAAATGGAAGGAACTAACAACAAATTCCGATAATTTGACGGCAATGGACCCGGAGATTCATCGTCACTCTCAGACAGTTTTGTTGTGTCATTCTTCCATGTTTGAACAACAAGTACGAAAATCTTAGCCGCTCACTCTCAATGTCAAAGGTATCAACCTCAATGAGCTCTTCAGAAACGAAATACTCCGCAAAAGCAGCGATAAAGACATCACTATCACTACCATTATTAAACAAATAAGACCATATGTTTCCAAAATTCATTTACTGTCCTAGACTTCTCGTGATTAAAACTTATCATACAAAATTTAACTTGCAGGCTGAGCCAACTGGTACACTATACTGACACATATAACAAGTTTATTTTATACCTATTTGTAAGAAAAATAAACAAACAAATTACCTAGTAAAATATGCATATTAACAAAAGACATATCTTCTTTATACTAAATAAACTTCAAACATACATGAACGGGTACACATACGACAATAATCAACATAGAAAAAAAAAACCTCAAATATAAATGAACTACATAGAAAAACTGTTGTTTCATATGCAAAAGGAAAACAAAACTGAAAAAATACACACACGCATTTCATCAAACATCTGGCGTGTGTGATATCGAAAACATCAAAGAGCAATTGTTTTTTTGTTTTAAATATTTTGTTTTGTTACCTACTTACCTGGGGCAAGGTTACTGGCATGAGGAGGCCAGAGAAATGCGCGGCCAATTTTTGATGAAGCAGACACGAATCCAACGAAGTAAAACAACATCTCCAACATTATCTCCAGTGGCATCATAACAAATCTGATGATGAAAGTATTCGATCAAAACAACCTCAATTCGGCCGAGATCTGGTGAAATCGATGTTGTTGGAGAAATCTTTTCACGAAGGCTCCAGATTTCTGCAAGACGAAGCCTGTTGCAGAAATCTGGAGCCGCAGCGGTGGCATAGAGGAGGAGGACGGCTGTGATGACACTAGAGAGAAGCCGATGAACGAGATCGACAGCGGTGGCGGTGGAGGGCGTGGATGGCCATCGCGATTTTCTCCCTTTTGACGAATTAAAAGCATTCGGTATTTGGTGTTTTATCGTTGATAATTAATAATTAATTAGGTTTTAAATATGGAATCAAGATCTGATAATTGGAATAAGAAAAATGATCTCGCCTTTGGGGCAATAAGCTTTAAGTCGTTCGTGCGACAGGTAATTTTCTCAATTACAATACCTCCAATTGCGCCAAAAAAAAAGAAAAAAAAAAGAAGAAGATGTTGCCCATAAACGAAATGCGCCCACAACAGAAGCCCAATCTGGTGTCCCAAACAGCAACCGCTTATATTACCTTAATCGCCATCAGTGCTTTATCTGACCAACACGTGCAATAGTCGGCAAAACCACCCACATATAAAGCTGTCACACTCACATCAAATCTTCACCGTTGAATGCTACTTTCTCACCTCCACCGCCACCCGGCACCGTCCAATCCGAATGGATTCTCAGTTCGGTAAATAACGAAATCAGTAATGCTAAGAAGTCAACTGTTGACTCTGTTACGAAGCCAACAGCCAATGAAACAGTTTCATGTGAGACGTCCCACATTGATGTGTGTGTGAAATTTGTGGCCAAAAACCCATGGCCTCTACCCCATGGGTATGATAGAATTTACCCCATCTTAATTTGTCCTCAATAACGCCACGCCGATATTCCAGGCCACACTAAATTCGAAGATAATTTCAAAAATTCCCCGAACCAAACTCCGAGCCTCAGGCTTGGCGCAGCCTTCGTACATCAAAAGATTCAAAACCCACATTCACACCTCAAGTCTGAACACGCATTTTCGCTCTCGCCCTTTTGCCTTTTCTTAACCGAGAAACTTTTTTTTTCTTCTTCAAATTCTTCACATAACCGTTAATTTTTGCGTTTCTAGTTTTTGGAATTCGCACGGCGATGGCGGAGCAGGAGGAAATCTCAGATCCGAGGGAGTCTTTGGTTGATAAAATCTCCGATAAGTTTCACGGCAGCAGCGGCGGCGATACGTCGTCGTCTTCGGACTCGGACTCCGAGCCTCGAAGGGAACCGGCGCCACCTTCTCCGGTCAAGGCGAAGATCTACCGGCTGTTCGGCCGGGAAAAACCGGTTCACGAGGTGTTTGGTGGAGGCAAACGTAAGACAGTAGCACTGTAACTCTTATGCTTTACAGTGTGTCGTATAAGTGCTTTCATCTCGTTTTTATTTCTTTTACTTTTCGCCCTTTGACTTGGCTGCTGAGGAGTACTGTTTTCAAATTTTCTGAAACTCACGAGTTCTGTTATGTTATAATCTGAACGCAATGTTGTGTGATTATAAAAATTAGTGAACACTTTTTATTTGCTCGTTATTTTTGTTGGTGGACATGTGTGTGTATAATTGTATTTGTGTTGATGATTTTGTTTTTGAATATTTTCTTTTATGAAGTAATCAAGTATGCATTTTTTTTTTCTTAAGTATGATCAAGATTTGCGCAAATGTTACTGTAAGGAGAGATCTCAATGTAGTTAGATTTAAACTAAGTGTTCTGTATGGGGTTAATAATGTGTGATAGTTGCTGTTTGTTATTTATTTTTGTAGCTGCTGATGTATTCTTGTGGAGGAACAAGAAAATATCTGCCTCAGTGCTTGGTGTGGCGACTGCTATTTGGGTTCTGTTCGAGTTGCTCGAGTATCATCTTCTTACTCTGGTGTGCCACATTGTGATCCTCGCCATCTCATTGTTGTTCTTGTGGTCGAACGTAACAACTTTCATCAACAAGTGAGTTTAATTTGATAGTTCTTTGCATCAGTCATTTTCTAGGAATTGAGTATTTAGTATTTACCGGTTAAATTAATCCTATCCGTTTTGTCTATGCCGTTTAGGAAACCTCCTCGCCTTCCTGAAGTTCGCCTTCCAGAAGAACCATTTGTTGAGGTTGCATCTGCCCTTCGTGTTGAGATCAATCGCGCTCTTGTTGTGTCGAGGGAAATTGCATCTGGCAAGGATCTCCAGAAGTTTCTTCTGGTAATAGATATCTATCACTTGTCGAAACTCGTGTGTACCTCTGTGAATATTGAGTTGTTGTTTTAATTTTTTATGCTTGACTTCCTCTTTGCTAGTGATTTTGTAATTTGTATGTTTCCAAATAATAGCTATTTCAATAGTTTTTTGGGCATACATCTTTGTAATCACTATGCGTAAGATTTCATTTTGTGGTATATTACTGGAGAGTCACATGCCATATGTTGTACAAGTAAATTTTGTGTTTATGCAAATACTGCATAAAAGTCTCATGTCTAGTATGAAGGGGATTGATTGCTGCATATTGACAGTGTTGAGATTTATTTCAGGTTGTTTTTGTCCTTTGGGCTCTTTCCATATTGGGCAGCTTCTGCAATTTCTTGACGTTGTCTTTCATAGGTAAATTAACCTTATGGCTTTTGTAGGGTGACTGGGTGAGTGCATATTATTATCGAGTGCTATATTAACAAATATTTTTCCTCCTTTATTTCAGTGTTTGTGCTGCTGTACACGGTGCCTGTCTTGTACGAGAAGTATGACGATAAAATTGATGCTTTTGCTGAAAAAGCAAGCATCGAGATCAAGAAGCAGTATGCTGTGTTCGACAGCAAGGTTCTTAGCAAGATACCTAAGGGACCGTTGGAGAAAAAGCGGGCGTAGATCCTTATTGGATGTAATGTAATGACTTAAATCTGTGCATTTAAAGTAAAGACTTTTGAGATGTTTTGGTTATAAAATATGTAATCATGAGTATGGAATCTTTCGTGTTTAGATAATTGTAATGTGGATACTTGTCGTGTTCAGATAATCGTATGCAGATGGGGAGTTTGAATCGTACTATCATAAGCAATATATTCTTGTGCACTTAAAAATAATTTTTTGACGCAATATAAGCATCAGATAAAAGCTTGTTCACACAAACCGTTTATATTGCTACTTATTGCAACACAAGATTACATGTATTTGGACACCCAAAAAGTTTTCACTAATGGAAAAATGGGAGTGATGTGTATATATATGGTAATGCCTATACAGCCGGCCGAGTCGGCTGGCTCCTCTCCTTCCGCAGAGGACACAAAAAAATTGAAAGAACCACAAGGCATCAAACATACATAGGGAGTGAAATCTGTACTGTACTTCAATTTGTATATTTACAGCATCTCAAAAAAAAAAAATAAAAAAAAATATATTAACTCAGTATCTTGGGAGTAGCCTCGAGCCCTGGGAATTGCTTTCCGATGAGGTGAGGGGTACGGTTGAAAACTCCGAGTCGGAATTCTCACGTTGCATGAAGTTTGGACGAGAATGTGATTGCATTTGGCTTCGACTGTCGAATGGGCTATGCAAATAACTCGAAGCAGATGATGATGATGACCCCTTGTGATCTGTGGAAGGAGAAGGGGAAGTTTCCGTGTTGTCTTGGGCCGGATTGGAACCTTCTGCCAACCCTCTCTTTTCTTTTTCGGTCTCAGTAAGAAGGAAGTCCACCCATAAATCTGCAAAGGACTGAAAAAAAAACAAAAAAAAAAAAAATAATA